CCTTGTCCCGCAGCGCTGCTGGTGCGGCCCCTGGAGAAGGAGCCCACGGTGGCCCAGATGCTGCGCATAATGCAGCTCCTGTCGCGGATCGAGGAAGGCGAGAACCTCGGTGGGTCCCCAGCCCTCCCGGCGCGGGCCTGCAGAACTCCCAGCGCTGACTCGCAGCCCGCTCCCCCCGCCGCAGCGTGCCCTGGTCCGCAGCTGCGTCCCTGCAGCTCCTGGGGGCTGTGTTTCCACTTGGGCCAAGGCTGTTGGGCTGTGGGAGCTTTTCCCTGAGGGTGAGGGGCCAGAGAGCTCGGCTTTTCATGTCTGCGTCGCGCTGCCGTAGGAAGGGAAGGGCTGTTGCCCTTAGCCAGGAGCAGTGTGGTCACACCCCAGCTCCGGGGCTGTCCTGCTATCTGTGCACCCCTCGTAGCTTCTGAAACGCTGCCCCTGGATCAGTTATTTGTAGTCAGGTGGTACTTCTGCAGCTTTTCTGTGCCTGGGGGTGGCGGGTCTTGCAGTCTAGACACTTGGCATCTTCATCCCCAGTAGAATTTGGAGTCGCGCTGAGGAAATCAAGTAGCTAGCGCTGGGTAAGGCATCACTGTGAGCGTCTCGCAAACCAAAACCAATGGCTGTGAATTCTTGTAGATTGCACCTTCGATCGAGAGTCGGACCTCACCCCTCTTGAATCGGCGATCGGCGTCCTGGAGCTCATTCAGAAAGAATTCTCTGTGGCTGAGAAGACGGTGGAAACTGTTCAGAAAATGGTGAAGGAAGCTGTAAGGCCTTTTTCTTTTTCAAGAAATACTCTGCTCATCTGTTGTCTTAGAAAAGTCTTGTGTAAGTGACAGTGGGAACTGACTCAGTGTAGAATACCGTAGTTGGTACTGACTTGGCCGCAAACGCGTATCTTCAGTGTATGTGCTTCTTCATCGGTTAATGTGGAAGCTGTTTCTCTGTGTACGGTGGTCCTTAGCTGTGACCTGTGCTGCCGTGCTTGATTATTAGACATGCTTTTCCAAAGCTGATCTAGAGAGTCTGGTCAAGTGTCAACAGAGAAACTGGTGTTTGTTTTCTTCTGCAGGCTGTTATTGTCTGCATCAAAAACAGAGAGTTTGATAAAGCTTCAAAAATTGTCAAGAGGCACATGGGGAAGGAGCCCAGAAACCAGGTGAGTCTGCGTCAGAATGAAGGATGGCTGTTTGGGGGCTGTGCGATGTCTCAGAGGGTGTTGGTGGAGGGGGGGCACTTGTGACCCATCTTGCAGGCGTAGAAGGTTTCCCTGAGAAGCCTCTTGGGGAAACCTGAGCAGGAGGAAAGGCAAAGGGTGCCGAAATGGAAAGAGTCCTCATCGAGTGATGGACCCTGAGCGTTGCACAGTTCTAAAGCTTGTCGATTGTCACTGTGGAGCTCACTCTGTTGCGTTCCCTCACGTATCTTCTTGGGTCTTTAGGCATCAACATTCATCTTTTGCCTTGAGGCAAACTCAAGCTGACACATAGAGCGTGAGTTCGTGAGAAGGGCTGGTTCCGAAAGCAGAAAGAGTCCCTGTTCCGATTTCTGGAGGCGATGCAGTGTCTTGGGCATTGGAAGCAAAAAGTCAGAGCTGCTGAAACAAGACGGCTCTCCTGTTCCCCTGGCCTTTTCCCAGCCTTGTGTCAGTGTAAATTAATTGTGCCTGGAGAATGTCAAATCCTCCAGGATTTGGAAAGGCCGGATCCTAGCTCCTGCAGTTGTCATCTATACCCTTGTACCTATTCAGAGCATTCTTGCCTCTCCTCTAGAAAAAGAGGAACGAGTTGCTGACTGTCATCCGGGAGAAGAATTTCACTCATCCAATGGTCAAAAACTTCTCTTACAAGAACTTCCAGCAGAGCGTGTTTCAGTTCCTGAAGAGCTATGTGGACGATTCGGAGCCACTGCTGCTGACGGTACGTGTCTGCCCTGCCTGACTTCCCATCCTGCGCCTGCTTCTGGCGCAGCAAGGAGCAGCAGGAAAACAGCACGAGATGCAGATTGGGGGAGGGCTGACGCTTGTTTTGCCATGAGGCAATGAAACACGGTAGTTTGGCTTCTGTGTGCCTTCTGCGCAAGTATAAGTTGGAGTTTAGGCAGCTAATTAACAGTGGTTGAATCCAAAATGCTTTAAATTGAGTCTGTTCCTAAAAGCTTTATACAGATGGACACATTTTTCAATCCATGTAACAAGTTTTAATTGATAGACATGAGCTGTGTGCGTGGTGCCGACTGAACTGCGGGTGGCAGTTTAAAATGCCTTTGGGAGGGATGAAATCAGATGGTGGTACGGGAATAAT